AGCTGCATGTATGCGTTGCTTTAAGGGTAAAATGGCTAATTTGTGACTATTTTAGATCTGCATACAAAGGCAGACAGCTGAATCCTTCTTAGGGCTACTCTAATCCTCTTTCCTCTCAGTAAACAGCAATTTCCCATTTTCTGACATAAAAGGACACATCGTTGATGTGCAATCCTGTACTTTACAGCCTCTGTAAGTAAAACACACAGTATTTTTGCTGGGAAAGTACAGTTTGTAGCCTAAAAGTTTAGACGGTATCTCTCTGGCTGATGAGATGAACTTTGCTGATGAGATGAATAAAAGGAGTACAGTCATTTTACGTGATCTTTCAACATCTAAAAATCTATGCATGGCTGAACAGAGCTAGGGAGCCCCAGAGAGTTTTATATCAGCCCAAAAGATTTGGCTTTCAGTATTTAACCAACTACTAATAAAGCCATAAATATAAAACACAGGTGTAACTTATTAAAAAAAACCAAAACACACACAGCTTAAATTTTACATGTCATGATAGCGTATTATATTTTTTACTTGAATAATTCTTCTAGTTTCTTTTCCTTTTATATATTATTGTCCTAACTCTTTTTTTGAGCTAATGCTGAATTATTTTAGTTACCGCATTAGACAACATAAAAATCAATTTTAAATTTGGAAGATTTCATAACTGCTGCAAAACACTCATATACGTACACACACCATAAAAAAATTCATAATTTTGCTTAGAAGTTGTAAAGACAAAACAAACATATCTGCCTTAAAAAAAAAAGTAATTTCAAACCTTAACAAAAAAGGTGTTTTAACCAAATTGCAATAATTAAAAATGCTATGAAAAAATTTATTTCTCATTTTGTTTTGTTTCTGCTCTTGATGAAGAAGGCAAGTTTAAAACCCCTGGCGACAGATTAATTTGACAGCAGGACAGTTGTGTGCTTGGATCCTCCTTGGTGGCACCTGTGCTCTGCAGGCTGAGAAGCAGCAGGAAGGTGTGGGTTAAGGAGATCATGAAGGAACGGCAAGGCAGGCAGGGTAAACTGGGAAAGTGATAAAATTACCTAATAAAATGGGGATTTTTCTCTGCTGACACCAAACATTTCCCTATCTCCACCTCACCTGCTGAGCCAGACTTCCTTGCTCAGCCCAAATCCTCTTTGAAATGAAGAAGCAGATCCTTTTTTGGGGAAAAGCTAAGAGAATTGGTTTTAAAGAACAGCACATTTCTCCTGGATCTCAAGTCACTGTTGACATCTATCCCATTTCCATGTCCCTCATCTCTTTTCCTGCTGCCTTGACCCCTGTTTACTCCTGCTGCAAGCCAGGCTCCAGAGAGATTCTCCTGCAGGATTGGGAAGAGGTGACGCAGGCACAGCTACTGGTACTGCTGGTTTCGGTGTGAGGAGGAGAAAAATGAGATGCAGCCCAGATTAGTAAGCAAATTTGACTCCATTGCTTGGAATGCATTTACACTTAATTTCATGTCAGCCTCTAAAGCTGAAAACAAATGTATGGCTGCTCCTTTCCTCAGAGACAAAGAGCTGCCATTGAAATACAGGAGCTTTCAGGGAGCAGGTCCTCTCTCCATTCCACACTCCCCCCTTGGCAAACAGGGAGATCTGAACACAAAAACTGAATGGTAGGACAGTGCTCAGAGAGAATTAAATCAGAGCTTAGTGTGGAGGGTGTGGTGTATGGTGAGATTGTATCTACACTCTTTATTCCTCCTGGGTGTTCCCCACATGCTTTCAGACCGTGCCCCACTTTCTTGCCTGCAGCCCCCATGGGTCTAGTCTCTGCAGGTCATTTTGCTGCAGGTTTTGGTCCCCCCTGTGCAGAATCTCAAGTC